GCTGTTTTGGGGGCGATGGGCTCTGCGCCGCGCTGTTTTGGGGGCGATGGGCTCTGCGCCGCGCTGTGCAAGAGGGAAGGGCTCTGCGCCCTGCTGTTTTGGGGGCGATGGGCTCTGCACCGCGCTGTTTTGGGGGCGATGGGCTCTGCGCCACGCTGTGCGAGAGGGAAGGGCTCTGCGCCGCGCTGTGCGAGAGGGAAGGGCTCTGCGCCGCGCTGTGCGAGAGGGAAGGGCTCTGCGCCGCGCTGTGCGAGAGGGAAGGGCTCTGCGCTGTGTTGTATCACACTGAAGGCTGCAGTCAGTACAATGGGCTGTGCATACAGAGTGATACTTACAAAGAGAGAGAGAAGGAAGGCAGGAGAGGCCATGGGCACACTGTCCTGTGAGAGGACAAACGACACAGTCAGAGCTGGAAATACACTGATACAGCACACACACTCACTGAAACGCAGTGACACAATGATACACACAGGGACACACACTGAAAACACCCTGATGCACTGACGCAAACCGACACGCCTGGTGACACAGCGACATGCCGTGCCGTCCCACAGGCAGGGCACCAACGGGCATGCAGACCGAAGGTCCCCCTCGTCGCTCCCGACAGGGAAGGGGGACATCCCGCAGGGCCGGAGAAACCATGCATGGGGGTGTGCTGATGGCAAGGGGGATGAGGAGGAGGGGCAGATGCCGGGGACGGAGGGCAGTGCGGAGTGAAATGTGTAGGGCAGTGTCCGCTCGGCAGCAGTGAGTGTGGACGGGCCTCACTGCAGATCACTGCGTGGGCCTGACCGGGCCGACGGACACACACGGCCACAAGCCACAGGGGGACACCCCGCCTTTCGGACTTCGGGGCTCGGAATCCGGATGAATGGGAACGCAAATTTAAAGCGATGCACGGGAACACGCGTGTATGCACATACACACAGGTGTAGCCGTTCTCTTGTCTTCCTCGCTCACCTTGTCGGACGAGTCCTGTTTCCGCGTGGAGTCCCGCCCTCTCAGGCTCTTGGCGCTGATCCCCGACTCCGAGGTCTGCATGATCAGCTGAGTGGCCAGGAATTGCTGCACGAGACAGAGGGCAAGGCCGATCATGCAGGGAAGGAGAGAGGAAGAGGGGAGAGAGGGGGGCAGGACAGAGAGAGGAGGTGATGGACAGGGGGACAGGTAAACGGAGAGGGGGCCAGGCAGAGAGAGCAGAAACACTGGGACACAGTACGAGGCAGCACTCTCAATCTGTCACTGCGTGACTCCCGGTCACAGGTCAGGTAGGAGAAGTTAGGAAATTGCTATATAAGGGTCTTATCCCCTGTAACACTACTTCAATCCCCCCAGAATCATGTCCCCCACAACACTTGTAACCACCCCCCCTTCCCCTCTACAGTGACTTTTATTTTGTCACTTCAAATGCATTTTTAAATGAACAAAAAAGTGTGATATCAATATCTGCTCAGCACACCTCCTGAATACACTGTAAAATAATAGTCTCCACATTGCCAAAAATTTCTCCTCTGGAACGACTGCAGAGAAGACCACCCAGGTGCAATCCCAGTTTTAAGGGAGTGACAGGCTAAAACTTCTTTAGTCTTGAGCAGAGAAGGCTGCAGGAGGACCCGATACAAGTCTTCACAATCCTCACGGGCGCAGTTACACCAGAGGTCTTCTTCAGAACCAGAGGAGCGTTTAACACGGAGAACAGGAGGCACTATTTTACACCATGGGAGGTGGGAGTGTGGAGCAAGCTACCAGGCCACGAGGCTGAAGCTGATACCTGGCTTCATGCAAGACAGAGCTGGATGAGGTTCCCAGATCAACGAGCTCCTAATGGCCACACCGACAAGATGGGCCAAGGGGCCCCCGTGACCTTGTGACCTGTGACCTCTCTGAGGTCACCGTGTACCTGTATCTGCTCCAGCACGTCCCTCTGCATCTCCAGCGCCATGTGGTAGACGTCGTGGTCGGAGCTGTTGTACATCACCGCGTTCTGGAACATCAGCATGATGTCCCGCTGGAATTCGGCCGTGGTCCGGATGAGCCCGTTCTCGATGTTCTTCTTGATCGTGGACAGATCCATCGGTCTGGAGACAGAGAAAGACACGCGCACGTTCACATCCAGGAACACCAGCAACGGATGCTCTCAGTGCATTCGTTCACATGCGGTGGTCATCCTCATATTCACACAGCATTTGTCTCTTCTCCCCACTAAGCCACTGTTTTCACTCTCCTCCCAGGTAACAGGCAGTCAGCCGGACCAACCTGTGCACAATACTGTGGTATCCTGGCGCAATGTCATCCGTCACAGGCTGGAGAAACACGTTGGCATACCTGGGCATGGAGAAATACACAGAAATCACTCAAAGTGGAAACAGCTACAATAGAGGCTACAGTCCCAGTACAGTAGACCAGTCCTGATACAATAGGGGCTACAGTCCCAGTACAATAGAACAGTCCTGTTACAACAGGAGCTACAGTCCCAGTACAGTAGAACAGTCCTGTTACAA